TATTATTCCACGTTCTGCAGAAGATTCATTCTAATTTTGCACATTTCGTGAGTAGTGCAGCCAAGCCCTAAGAGTCACGTGTAGAGACCAACAGGGCCTAGCTAGGCGAGCAACCCATAACTGCTGAAACACAGACCTGAATTCGAATCTTGAGTATATATTCGGCCAGCTCGTGCTCTATTTCATATTCACTGCCTGCCTCGATTTTGGTGGGGGGGTCTGCACTACATGTCTAGGAGGACCCTTCAGATAGCCTGCATGGGCCGTCTGAGCCGTGTTAACGGCATCCGTTCTGCAATCAGACTCGCTCTCGTTCACACTTCTCATGCATGCAAACAGGTGCGCAGCACACTGGCGACAAGCGCCCACAAAGATATGGTAACCGAGAACACAGTTCAGATTCAATTTCACTTCGATGGCTATGGCGACTCAGCGCCCACACAACTCACTGTTCGCATACACAGGATCACCCTGGATATCCCACATGCGATACTCAGTACACACACATACACTCACACTGCACACTAGCTACAGCTATGGCGGCTATGGCCGCTACTACCCTTCCGCTATGGCTACACTCCTCACTCGCCCACTTCGGCCTCGGGGTCACTGCAGACCTCCTTGCACAAGTCGCTTATGGCAGCGCTTCCGCATGGCTCACGCAGGAATGAATGAATGAATGGGCGCTGCCTCTTGATTTATACTTCTGCAGCTCGTTGGTCTGGCCCTTTCCCATGCCCGAAGTGCACACAGTCCCATGCGGTACTTGCTTGACTGGACCAGGACTGACTGGGGACTGGGACTGTTGACTCAACACGGGTAGACTTCCACCGCTTGCCCACTTGCCTTAGCCTAAACGTGGGCAACTTGGAAAGGCCACTACTCGGACCTTCCGTAAGGCTGTAGACTTGGCCTTTCGCTACTGTAGCAGCTACGACCTTGACCTTTTTGGACTGTAGCAGCTACGACCTTGACCCCTCGAGAAGGCTACAGCTACGACTTCTAGACCTGACTGAGACTCCTACTCGACAGGTCTACAGATCGAACCCCTGCTACCTATGGACCCTACGATGACCTACCAATTGTTACAAATACACAGGTCACGGGTTCAACTCTAAGGGTCGACGCAGATACTGTACACAGGTAAGGTGAGGACTAGGGATCGAGCCCTGGGATTTGCATCAGCTACTGCGAATTGGTGAATACCATTTCACTCCCGCCGGCCTAAATTCGAGGTCCTCCGAGAATAACTCAGTCCAAGGCAGGACCTTTACCTTTCTGATCTCTCTCGTAGGCTCTAACTCTATCGGGAGCTGTCTCTAGAAGTTCTGCTCTCGTGAACCAACGGTCATCCTCCGGTTCCTGATACGCAAACCGGACCTTATATTGCTTCTGTGGACGACCTCTACCTCCTGTTCTGAACACATCTTCACCTACAATGCCGTCGATGTCATATCTTCCGTCCATGTCTGGGGGGAACATCTGCGAGGCCACTATCTCTATGAGCCCCATTCGGCCCCTTTTTGGAGCAAATCGGCCACCCTAAGTGAAGGCAGGCTCGACGAGGCCCTCAGGACCCTATTTTGACCACTGCGCAACTAAGGAAATTCCGGCAGTTGCGCAGCGCCAGTTGGTTGAGAGAATCCAGGCCCTGGGCTGGATACGGGTACTGGGCCAAACACAGGTCACAAGCAGTTGGGTGCATGCACCCACCTCAGGCCCAAGGCCTGTTCTCTATCGTGCTGGGCCTCAGGCTACCGGGGCCTATTGGAAGCTTCCTGGGACTGAACGCAGGCAGGCCACTTCGATATAGCAAAGGGCCTGCCTCCACATTGCTCATTCGGGTGCTGGCTGCATGCTGCGCAAGCGCTGCTGTGCTGAAGCTCACTAACACTCACGCGCTCATGGACGAGCATGAAGGAGCAGGCAGTAGCCGAGCTGCGCTGCTGTAAGCTGGGTGTGGCGCAGGGTGGTCCTTGTGCAATGACTTGCTGATTTCTGCAGCCGTGATTCACTGCGAGGCTGTACACTAACCGGTAGGTTAAATTCGTAATTTTGTTTGGCCGAGGGCTAACCGAGAGACCTGCCTGTAAGGAAATTCGTGAGGGACAAATCTGCAGATCCGGGAAAATACAAGCCCGGTACTAACCGAATTCCTACAGCTACCCTAACTGCCTATAGCAGGCCCGGGCTACCCCTAGGACACACAGGCCCTAAACGGTATACTGCTAGACGGTCCTATAGCCTATAGCCGGGTCCGGTAGCGACCGAGAGGCCGAAACAGCAACGGTACCGGTCAGTCAGTCAGTTCGGTCTAGGTCTAGAGAGTCTATAGATAGGTTAGGCCCACCGATTCATGACTTTTGGCTTTTCATTTTCGCGGGACAGGGTTTGTGGCCAACTAAGTTTGCAGCGCTGAAAGTCTACAGCGGCACCTGAGACTTCAGCTGAGTGAGGCAGCCATAGCCAACCTTTGAGAGACGGCCATAGCTGGGGCAGTC